TCAACAAAAATATTAGTCCTCATTAATATTTACCTTTTTGAAATTAACAATGGATATTGAGCTTAGAACTTAGAATAATTCAAAGAAACACACGTTTACTAACGCACGCGCATTGACAATAGCGAACGAAATAATCTATCTTTGTCATAGGCATATTATGTCCACGACTTCGGTACCATGGTGCGACAAAGCGAAGGAGATTTTTTTTGTCTTTGTCTTTGCAGTGTCGTAGGAGCTAAATAAAATTCAGAAGATGAAAAGGTAAATAAATTTGTAGCTGTCTAAGAAACCAATGTAATAAAAAAATTCGAAGGCAACTTTTCATTATTTTAAATAATCAATCGAATAGTATAGAAAAAATATTGTTTTAGTTTTGTTAAATCATTAAAATTAACGATTAAAAATTTGATTTTGTTATAACTTTCTTATTAAAAATTAAAAAATATGTCTATTTCTCTGGAAAGAAAAGTTACATTTTTTTAGAGCAAATTGGAAAAAAAAATTACAAAATTCATTCATTTTTCTGTTTGTTATGATTTTTTTTAATTTCTGAAATCTTCCATTAACTTCTAGCCTCCCTAACTCTGTGTTAATTTTATATAATAGTACGAGAAAAATCAAGAGGCCATTTTTATGTAGAATTGTATGCTTTACAACTTTCATGAAAAACTTTTTTTTCTAGCTCTTACCCTTTTTGAGTTATCTTGAAAAACCCCTTNTTTTTTCTTAAAACTATAACACCCTGTAGCTCAAAAATTAAGAGGTTTAGGACATATGTTGATATTAAGTTTTCTTCTTAAAATGACCCAAGGATTCACACCCTTAAGTATCGGCATTCAATTAATAAACACTCTGTATATATTTTTTGCCAAAGCGTAAGACGACTGTCTAAGTTAACAAACAAAATTTTAAAGTATAGTCGGGTATGCAGTCAAAGCCAACTTAAAGTGTACTCTTTTTTATTACTCGGAGGTTTTTGGGATTGGGGATTCCAATTCTGACACTGAAAAGTATGCCCGACGCCCGTGGGGTGGGCTTTCTGGAAAACATCGAAAGGCACATCAGATTTTTGCAATAAAACTGCTCCGCCTGCTTACCAACCATGATCTTGTAGGCTCATCTTTACATTGTAACACATGTACATTTACAGAGATTAGACAAGAAGGGTAAGAAAATCTAACAGGAAATTAATGAGTCGAAAAGAATCCCCTTTATTCCGAGAACCAATTTTCTTTTTATTTGCAAGGCAATTAGTGAGACGACTACTATTATATGTTTATCTAACACTTTCACTATCAATCACAATTTTCATCATCATTACTGTCATCACTGTCTCCATCACTATCATCTATTACATTTTCGACTATTTGAGGATTGAAACAGTTGGTTCTAAAACAATTTGTACATGTAATTCCATGCTTAGGAAGGCAATTACTAAGCTATTCGACGTTTTACAGAAGGCCCCCCTTGCCCCCCTGGGGGCCCCAGGGCGTCGGGCATACTTTTCAGTGTCAGAATCGAAATCCCAGACCCCAAAAACCCCCAAGTGGGATTTAGAAGGCAATTACTCAGCTATTCGATGTTTTAGAGAAGGCCCCCCTCTTGTCCCCCTGGGGGGACCCAGGGCCGTCGGGTATATTTTTCAGGGTCAGAATCGGAATCACCAACCCTGAAAACCCGTGCACACAAATTTCTACAACTTTTAGTCAATTTTTACCATTTTTAAAAAATTTGGAAAAATTGATGCACTTCAAGATGCAGTTTATGCACCCGTAATGCAGTATCGATCCAGCCCCACAGTGTAATAGATAGACATTTTTCCTGATGTTTTTCCAAAGACAATGCCGAAAACCGTAACTCGATCGGTTCATTAGAAAAAAATTTCCATATTTTGAGTGATTTTGGTCTAACTTGCCTGGACTAGTACGTAGACATTAGTTAAAATATATACTACTTTGCGAGTGATGTATTTGAACTAATACAAATTAGTTTTATATATTTAAAGTGACAAAAAGTCAATTAAATCAATAATAAAAATGTCTAATTAAAAAAATAACTGTCTTAATGTTTAGATTTGTGGAATAACAAATATTTCATATATAGGGCTGTCAATGAGAGCCTCAATTCAATGGCGTACCAAGCAAGTCAACCGATATAAGCGTGAGCTGCTGTCTCTGAATGCTTTTCATGTTCACGTCACGTTGCTTTATCGTGCAAATGTTGCGTAATTAATTCCTATCCGTTGGTGTATTGTATTTTATTTAATTGCTTTTTAATAAATAATGTGTACGCCTATGTCCCGTGGCTCAGTTCTGACAGTCCTATTCATAAATAACATTTAAAAATGTAACAAAACACATACATTTAAAAAGATTAAAAGCAGATAATTGAGAAAAATCGACTTACTCTTTACAATTTTTATGTCTTTTGTTAATCGTTGAACAACCTTCAGATAACTATCACCATCGCTGATAGTAATATACTTGGAGAACAATCCATTATGCGGTACAGGATTTGTAAAATCTACTTTTACACCAGGTTTTCTAGAAAATAGTACAAACGGGGCACCGGGACAACATTCCTTCATTTTCTCATTTGCTTCTTTATCGTCGGTGAATCTTATAACAACCTCTTCAACCTTAAAAATAACAAATTTCTATTGAAAGATAAATAGAATTAGGATACGAGGGAAGCCTTCTATATTTTGGAGATGGACGATCCTAGTGCGGCCATCTGACAACCAACGTTCCTATCGTAAATTTCAACTTTTTATCGGTGTACTTTATCAGAACATTTTGATGTATAGGCGCTATTAGTGTTGTTTACAGTGGCTTGAAAATATCATCTTGGGCAAAAAATGGAATTAACAGTGCATAGATGAACTTAATTCAACTTTTGCTGATAAAGCACCATTAAAATCCACTTTATATCGGTGGTATACAAAATTCTATCGTGGCCATGGTTCGCTGACTGACGAATTTCGTGAAGGTCGTCCAAAATCGGTTGTTGTTCCAGAAAACATTGATGCTGTGAGTAAACTGATATTGCAAAATCGCCGCGTAACTTATCATGACATTAAAGCATCCTTAGGCATTAGTGGGACCAGCATACATTCAATATTGCATGAATGTTTGGCCGCCAAAAAAAGGCTCATACGGATTGGTCGAAGGAAATGCGATCGTGGTGCTTCAAAACACGTATATGCCATCTTAACAGGTGACAAATCATGGATCTATGTGTATATGTCTGAAGTAAACAGCAGTCAACTGTATGGGTATTTCAAGATGAGCCAAATCCAAGAAAAGTTGTTCGCTCACGAAGCACTTCTAAGCAAACCTGGTTTTTAGAAAAAACCGCACGTGGTAACTGTTCCATTAGTGCAACGTCGGATGGTCAATTCTGTATGGTGTGTGTGGTTGTACACAAGGTTTGCTAGAAATCTTAAGAAAAATAAGAAACTAACCGCCCAAGACAGATCATTTTCCATCCACACTGTAAGCTCTCATACATCGGTTCAAACAAGAGATTTTTTGAGAACTGAAAAAGTCGAATTGATGAGTTATCCGCCATACAGCCTGATTTGACTTCCAATGATTTTTTTGTATTTCCACACATCAAACATAAATTACGAGGTCAAAGTTTTTTAATACCTAAAAAAGTGTTGATGCCTTTAAAATGCATGTTTTGGAGATACAGTAGAACCCCGATTATCCGTGATCTACGGGACCGAGCGTGGCACGGATAATTGAAAAACATAGATAATCAAAACATTTATTTTTTACATAAGGAATGGAGCAATACATACGTAAACATGCACAAAATCATGCACAAATGCAATCTGTGTTTAACTTTTTCTGTTTTCTGACATATTTTAGGTAAGTTTAAAATGTCGACATACTCAAAATAGGCTAATAGGCTTTGCAACTTCTGCAGATTAGAAGCGTTAGCCATAACACATGACGTTATAGTCTTTACTGAACAAAAACACAAAATAACGTGACATCATAAATTCCCAGATAATCCACACACAGATAATTACGGTTCTACTGTACCTCAATCGGAATTGGTTCAAGTGCATGCAAAAGTGTATTGATCTTAATTCCGTCTAAGGGGAGAACAAATTACCCCAAAAAAAATTATAAAATATTTAGGAGCAATGTTCGAGTGGCAAAGAACTTTTGGGAAACACGTTAAATTTGTGTGTAAAAAAGCTGACGAAAGAATGGTAGCACTGAGTAGAATCCTCCCAAATATAGGAGGTCCGTCAGACAAGAAGAGGAGAGTGTTGGCAGGGCTGCTGTCTTCCATAATCCTGTATGCAGCTCCCATATGGCATAACGTCATCAGAATTAAGAGATATAAGAGAATCCTGTTAAGTACACAAAGGAAAAGTCTATGGAGAGTAATCACCGGGTACAGAACAGTTTCCTCAAACACTATGCAGGTTATAGTGGGGGTCCCGCCCATGACCCTTCTAGCAGGGGACAGGAAGAGGCCGTATAATAGGATAGACGCAAATAGTCCAGCAGCAAGAAAGGAAGCTACAGACGAAACACTAGCGGAATGGCTATCTACGTGGGAAAGTAATACACAAGATACACAGTGGACAAAAAAGCTAATCCCAAACATCAAAAAATAGGTAAACTGTAAACACATGAGACAGACTACTTCTTATCTCAAGCCCTGACAGGTCATGGCAGTTTTTCAACATACCTGCACAGAAAAGGTAAACGGGAGTCGAACATTTGCCAATACTGCCAGGAAGTGGACACGGCACACTTTATATGTTTGCCCGAGATGGACCAACATAAGTACAGAATTGGAAATGAGATTGGCAATAAGTTTATCGTCCATAAATATGATAGATATCATGATTTCCTCGGAAGAAAAGACGATTCACAATGCAATAGTGCGAATAATGAGGAATAAGGAATATGAAGAACGGTTGCAGTAGAGCAGAGTAGTTTTTTCAGTTTCTTCCCTGCTTCTGATGTGTATCAGGAATAATGCCAGAGACAGGGTTGGAAGACGAGGAGGGGTTTTAGTGGCTAGTCCCCTACACCAGGGGTCGGCAAACTTTTAAGCCGGAAGAGCCATCTGCAATAAAAATATCAATTTTATGAATTTCAAAGAGCCACGAATTTTTATTTCTGCTTTTACATTTTATTTCAAATTTAAATCGGATACGGAAGTTTATACGCGTCTTTATGTGTACTCGCGTACTGTAGTCCAATTAAACAAGCCTTTAAATCGAAATTTCGTCAACTTGGCTGAATTTTTGATATGAGTTAGTTTAAGGTATATTATAACAATAAGTGAGAGTAATTTTTTGTTCAACCCCCGGCCAAGGGTGAAAAAAGATAAAACAAAGGGGGTTTTCAAGATAACTTAAAAAGGGTAAGAGCTAGAAAAAAAAGTTTTCCATGAAAGTTGTAAAGCATACAATTCTACATAAAAACGGCCACTTGATTTTTTCTCGTACTATTAAAATTAACAGAGTTAGGGAGGCTAGAAGTTAAGGGAAGATTTCAGAAATTTAATTTTGTTAAATCATTAAAATTAACGATTAAAAATTTGATTTTTTGTTATAACTTTCTTATTAAAAATTAAAAAATATATCTATTTCTCTGAAAAGAAAAGTTACATATTTTAGAGCAGATTGAAAAAAAAAATTACAAAATTCAATCATTTTTCTGTTTGTTATGATTTTTTTTAAATTTCTGAAATCTTCCCTTAACTTCTAGCCTCCCTAACTCTGTTAATTGTAATAGTACAAGAAAAAGTTAAGAGGCCATTTTTATGTAGAATTGTCTGCTTTACAACTTTCATGAAAAACTTTTTTTTCTAGCTCTTACCCTTTTTGAGTTATCTTGAAAAAGCCCTTTGTTTTATCTTTTTCCACCCTTGGCCGGGGG